TTCCCGCCGCCGCCCGCGCCGAGCACGCTGAGGAGCCGCCGGTCGACGGCAAGCAACGCTGGCCTAATCCGGGGCCGCCGCCGTGACTGCAAGGGGCCGCCACAAAGAGACCTGGGGCAAGCAACGCCGTAGCCGTCCGCCGCCAGACCTGCCGGGACTGGGATGCCCGAACGCCGCACCTGTGAGCTGGATCATGACCGCCCGGGAGGGCAAAGACACCAGAGCTGAAATGAACTCTGGCCATCCCGGCCGTTACTAAGTTAAGATTAGTGGTTAGTTGTAAGTTTATTCATGTTACTGGGCTTCACCCACACCCATTCTAAAGTGATTAAAGTAGTTTTATGAAAATGCTGAAGTCTTTTTCTCACGTAGTTAGGCAAGCATGCATGCCTCCCTCTAGGGAGTCTGCCGACGAAGCAGCCGGGCAAAGCTCAATCGCCGAAGCAGGTAATCGGGTGAGTCGGTGGTTACAACATGAACCAGCTAACCTTCCCTCTGGAGAGTTGGGTCCGTACCCACACATTTAGCCACCTCCGTCATCCCGTAAGGTCATAAAACTATTACTTCTGTAATTGTAATGAGTATGATGGTTTCTGTTCTAGTATTCCGGAGCCTAGTAATTGAGAAAATGTGAAAAAAATTGTTTGGGGGCAACAAAATGAAAGGCGTGAAGAGAATGAGGCTTGTCGCGAGAGTAGACATTAGAAAACTAGGGCGAGACACTGCTATTCTATAGCACCACTAGTTTATTTCAATAGCTAATTTACTACTGCAAACTTTTTCTGAGGCAACAATTTTGTAGTTTTGAAATTCTTTTACGATTTCCGAAAAAAATTAGCAATACCCGAAAATTGGATTAGCATCACGTTTCTTCCTGTCCCTTATTACGGATGTGTTTTTTTGTTGTAATTTCCGAAAAAAAACTAGCAATATCCGAATATGGAACTAGCACCATATTTCTTACCATCCCTTATTGCATACGTGAAGAAAGGTTTTGGAAGACGGGTTTTTGAGGAAAAATAGTTGTACCGTTCTCTTAAATGTCTTTCACACTATTCAACTACAAAATTTATTCAAAAAATGTGGAGAGGTATTTTTGAAAATGAGAATCTACAGTACCCACCAAAATTAAAATATCGGTTTCAAAATCCAGAGGCAGCGACATCAGCCAGATCGATTCAAGAATATCAATTTTGGAGAAAGAAAGGCTGAACTGTTTAGCCGTCGGATAGAGGGTCGTTTTGCCGTCAATCGAATTTTCCGTATTAAGAACCAACAAGACACGGATACTTGCGACACCACGTGTTGGAGGATTTCCCCCCTAAATTTAGCAACAGGATGTATCAACTTTTTCGTTACTAGAGTCCGATTGATTATAATATTTTTTCTGGCAAAAATCCATCGTTTTCCGCCGCACGATTACATAACGACGGATTTGTAAGGCGAGAAAGTAAAAATAGCGTGTGTGTCTTAGGTAATTTCCGCAAAGCACAGACTTGTTGCATATCAGGCGCGTATACAGGCCTAGTAATACTAGCAATGTATCTTATCGCTTACAACAGTTTTATCAAAGAATTTAAAAAAAGTGCAAAACTTGCTTTGCAATAAATAAATTAAAGAAATTAATATCAGAATGTGGCATTCTTTAATTCAATCGCGAACACTGAAGAATGGCTACACCACAGTTGCGTGTCCTGCTTCTTGCCATTCCGCCAAGTGGAACTCCAAAGTTAAGGACTTACGCGTTAAAGGACCGACGGCACACGGGGGAGGGGGGACTGAGTTTTCAGCCCCCCCCCATCAAGATTTCAACATCGATTCCAAAATGGCGCCTCTTTGAGAAGAACCCTACAGAGTGGTGGGCGTTTACATCATCGACAATCAAGAAAGGTGCGCGCAGATGGCTTATTAGGCCTAGGAAGCATCGCCAGACACCATTCGCTCTGGGGAGTATCGATGTTACACTGAGCGTGAAGGATACAGTTTGTGTTTCAAGGCCACCAAGGGGGGGGGGAAGGGTGATAAAAGAGTGTAGATGACGTGAAACGAAAAGCAAAAAGGTTGAATGATGGAGATAGGAACACACGAGAGCCTTCTCGACCACCTCGATGAGGAGATGACAAAGTCGGGAGCGGCCACACTTTTGTCGACAGAAGAGGGCACGGACGCAAGGCGATAGCCATGGAACCATCATCCGCATCGAGTCTAAAGCTGTGAAAACCTCAGAGAGACAATGGCTGAGTAACGGATGTTTACTGCAAGCATACAATAGAGGGATAAAAGCGGTATAAAATTAATCGGTCTTTCAAATAAGATAGCAAACTATTTTAGAGTCATTAGGGGATTGAAGTCCGCCTCAACAAGGAGATCCTACCGACCGCTGCCAGGACGAGTGCGAGCGGTGGTCCACAGAGAAAGGGTTTCCGGAGCAGACACGGTCGAAATTTTGGTTGTACAATCTTTCACGTTTTTATTACATTTCGTTGATACAATAATTTTAGACGTGGACAATGATTGTTTGGCAAATAAGGGTGAAACCTAACACTGCGTTAGCCATTAAAGGAGAAGCAGGTTCTGCATGGATCTTCGCTTGTCTTCCTGGGATTTATAACATTCGAAAAGGTTCGTAACATATTCAGAAGGATTTTACCAGGTATCTCCTCTCGGAAACGAAATATCACCCCATCACTCTGATTGATTTTTAGATTTCCCGTCTCCTTGATGTATTCTGGCGCCCCAGTTGATGCAGCGGGTGGGGAGCGCTGAGCGGAATGGCGATTTCTTTCCCATTTTCTGGAACACTTTTGTTTCTAAGAAGGACTTCAGTTACTCTTTATGTTCTGAAGTCAAATTAAGTCTAAGAGGGATGGACACCTTAAACTGAAGGTCGGCGATATCTCGTTTTTAGAAGTTTCTCAATATCGCTGTCAAATTGGGCTTCGAAGAGTATGGTACCACTTCTCAGAGAACAGCCGCCTAAAACTTCCCAAAACACTTCGGTGGCACTTCCCAAACGCACAGAGCTCACCCGTTTAAACGTATTACGTTGTTTACCACATTCCATAAAAAGAAAACTTCTTCTCGCCCTTTACAATGTGCCTTCCTTTGGAAGGGGGCCGGGAAGGGGCGTCTTGGATCCACATAGCGATTTCAGTTCATTCCCATCGTCATCTAACAAGAGGCCACTTCACTTAAGTGCCAGGGCTGCCACGGGGCTATGGCAGTGTCAAGGCTTCTTCCGCGCCACCACCGCTCACCCTCGAGGCGAGACCCAGACCCAGATGATCGGCCGGGGGCGCTTCACGACTGCCAGTCTAGAAGAGGCACACACCACTCGCCGGAGAACACACGACGAGCACTCATTAGTTTCATCATAGGACGCGACAAACACATGGGTGGGCAGCCAGAATCCAGAGAAGGCTAGAGTGGCAGAAAAAAATGTGATAAAATAATGTAGGTGACAAAAATAAAAAGCAAGGAACGAAGATAGAGAAAGGAACGCATGTCCATTTCTGCATCTCTCCATCAGGGCGTGCATTTTTTCACGGATGCTATTACTTCCGAAAAGACTAAAGACATTGTTCAAAATGTTGTATATCTTTTACATGAAGACGATATATACTGCTGCTTTCAACAGTAGTCACCACGTGCAAATGTTTTAAAGGAATTTTCGGATAGCGAATTGCGGTCCGCCGCTGGATTGCCTCTATTACCTAGAGTAGAAACTTCTGTCACTGTCGTGACTCCAAGGCAAAGACTTCCCGGTCAGAGGCATTGCAGTGATGTCAATTGATGCCCTGAGCCACCTAAGTCGGTGCTCTTTTCGAGACAATTTTGAAAATGTTGAGACTTCATGTAAAGTACACAATCAAATCAAAATGTTTCTAAATGTTTTGATAATATCAACTTTGGAGATAATGGTGTGAACTGTTAAGGTGCTAGCGTTCGCCTCACACTGACACGTTTTGTCATTTTTTCGGAGCTAGTCACACAAAAATGGATTCTGACAACACGTGTTAAAGGACCCTTAATCATGATCGTTCCTAATCTCCTTGCTGAAGAAAGAATTTACACAATGGCGTCGTGAATTATTTAATTAGCTATGAGTAGAAGTGTTTTCATACTGAAAACCGAATTCTGAACAATGGGCTCCCAAACTTAACCCTTAACAATGGGCTCCCAAGACATTTCAATACTTCCCACAAAAGGAGCACACTACTCCAACATTACAGTCTCAATAACATAAAATGGGTTACCATCTTTTTTCACTTGTGTCACTTTTTCACTTATATTAAAAAAAGTAGCAGAACTGTGAAAAGTGAAAAAACTGCTGTAACACGCGGTTATCTTATAAAAGTAAGGAAACTTGACTGGAATCCACCACATTAGTAATGTGTTATAAATTAGTCCAACATGTGGTTGAATGATATCCAATTAAATTGTGACTTGGCAAATTGTTTGTTGAACCACAATCAAAATTATCTTCAGTACATAGAGGGTAAAATTTGAAGCAATACGGAAGCAAGAATTTACAATGCAAAAAATAATGTACATTTCACATAAAAAACGTAACTGATTCAATTTCAGAACTGAAAACATTGGTACAGACACTATGTAAACAGATTTTTAACAGGGCTACCCAAAACCCTTCGGAGAAAACCGTGAAGAGCAACAAAATAACACAAAACTCTCATTAAGATTTAATTCTGGTAAATAATGTTGAAAATGATTCATCGTCAAAAATAAAGTAAAGGTACATTTCCTGTAAGTTGGTGATTAAACGTTAATGAGTGAATGTAAATAGGTGTGCAATGAAGAGCAATGAAATACAAATAAAAATTAGAAGATAAATTGTGATAATGAAAACAAGCAAATTATGCTACTGGGTCATCCAGTATAAAACACACGAGATTTACAAAAAAATCATTCAAAACATTAATTGAATTAATTCAAGTACAACGCTAAAAACAATGGAATAACCAATAACAAAACAATACTGATATGGGTGACTTCCATATAAGCCAGCCCACAAAGGTGCCATCATGGTGGGACGAACTAATACTACATGACCACCAACTAGAAGCGTAGATGAATACAGAAACTTAAATAAAAGCATTCATTTTTCTCACAACATAGCATCAATAGAAAGAACTTGGACAATATTTCCAATCTTACCTGCAATATTAAAAGATGTCCATGCTCTGAAAGGTACCTTTGCAACACTGTCACAGCCTCTAAAGAGAGCTGCAAATGATATTTTGCAGACCTGCAGATACACAAAACTTTTGAAAGTTTTCTCTTGATTAAAATAAAGTCATAACTTCTCGAAATATTCACATGTCATAAAAGTAAGAACTGATAGAAAACAATGATGCTTCTTTACCTGAACGATTTAATATACGTATTCACTTTGACATCCGGACTATTGGATACATACGCCGCCAACTCTTCCAATAATTTACGACTATTTTCCCGAGAAGCAAATAAAGCCTGATGCCGCTCGAAGAATTTTGATGCAGATTGACGATGACTTCCACAGAGCATTTCTAAGTAGAGATGGCAAAACAGTGGACACAGCAATGCTTCAAGCTCATAGCGGTAACTATCAGCCTTCAGATCAGCAATCCAGTTCTTCAACCTGTCAATTGAACAGATAATTCCATCAAGAAGACTCAAATGCAACATACTCTCCAAGGACACAATATAAACTCAATCCCAATGCTAGGCAGCAGGCTTGCTGAACAATGAACAGCAAAACAAGTGCTATAGACAGGAATGAGTCTCTAATGTTCTGCTGATTCAAATTGTTTTACAGTTCTGCATGCATGAAAATGAAAAGAATGCTTTGGAGAATATTTTGGCTTCAAACGAGATGTATGCAAAAATGTTACCTCTTTTCTTCATGAAGCATTTGCTACAAAGAATAAGATCTTGTTTATATGCACTTTACGTATTTAATAAAGCAAAATATGCATTATAAAACGTACATAGATGAGATTCACTTGATAGATTTTCGCCAGAAATTAATTGGAAAGCATTGATTTTACCAAACAAACTACAACATAAATTGTTTTTCACCCTTTCCAAGATGGAATTTCTCACAAAAACGGAAACAAAAAAAGAAATTTGAAGCACTTCAAACCCAGAAAAGAATTATAAGGGACAAGGAGTATGTTAAACACCACAGTAGCTCAAACCAAGGAATTGAAACAGCAAGAGGGAAGAAGTGAGCACTTGATTTTTATCTTACTGTATAGATTAGAAAGAAGTTAATTTTGAAATGTAGCACAATAAAGAGAGGGAGGAGAGGAAGATATGAGAAAAAAATTGAGAACCTATTTCAAGTTTTAACTTACACACAAAATCCACTTCCAAAGTCGGACAAAACCCCTTTCAAATTCAGACAAAACGACTTTAGCAATTTGAGTGATAAACGAAAAACCAATGTGATCCTATTCACAAATGTCTTTTTCAAGATTTCCTGGAAGCCAAAATTAACAGCATTGGTCAGCGCCCAACATTAATAATCATTTTCTACCACAACGAAGTCAATATAGTTGATGAATAGCAGTTGAGCAAAAATACCTAGAAATATGCTAACAAATCTAAATATCAAAATAAAACATCGCTCAATTTGAGCTGATCGAAGCTATAAATGAAATGGGCAATACAAAACAAAAATGATCTATATTCTCAAATATTATTTTATACTCGTGTCACAAGAAAGAAGTATGAAGAATACCTATTTCACGCAAACTGTGAGAACAAATAACAAATATTGTAGCAAAGGAACAAATTCTTGTTAAAATACTGCTGCTAAAAAACACATACTTCGTCGCATTATAACATTTGCAAATTTTGAAAATTCTGGGAGTTCAACGAAAATGAGATTTTTTGCGCCATTTTTTGCGTTTTTGGAGGGCAACGGATATTTTGATTTTGGGGGGTATTTTACAAGTCAGTACAACATAGTCAAAATTATCACAAACAAGTTTTTGAGCAAGGAAAGACATTTTCACAGCAGGCGTATTTATAGTATTTTTCAAGGGGGAGGGAAATAACAGGACAAGGTTTTATAAATCAGTTTGTAGAAGGAAAAAAAATATTACAGCTTTCGTGATAAGTTAATAAGGACGATGGGACAAAAGCTAGTGAATTTAAGTTATCACTGCAATTACATTTTCAAAAATTCGAAGGTTATTTCAATGTTAACGCACAGTTTGGCAACACTGCGGAGTGAAGGACAGGACGATTGTGATCGTAAAAATTCTTGTACTTTAAGACCAGGCGAAGAAACACGTGTTTTTGTTTCATGATTTGTTCTTAATTTAAAAACAGCATTCACCGGCCTCAAATAATATGACTGTCGACTAACAAGTATTATTAACGAGATTATTAGGGTTTAAAGGACCCTTCAACTGCCATAGTCACTGGCCCATGTCAAATTCGATTAAAACTTACGTATCGTTATTAGAAAATCCACAAGGACATGGACTGCTGATTAAAGGCATGTTCTCGTACATCATTTAAAATGAAGGCTTGAAGCCTGCTTAGAATATTGGTATAAGAGAACAAGGCGATAAAATAAGATATTTAAAATAAATATTAACTTATATGCCAAGACGCATATAATTATAAAGCGTCTCTCAGATGGCATGACAAATTCAATTTGCTCTCAGGAATGAAAGAGCCTTGAGAGTGGAGTTGTCGTTGGCAAGTAACCTCCCTCAGAGAGCTGCCCAGACAAAGTCTTCGTTCATTGCAGGACGACACGTCCAACTGAAAGCGCTCCCCAGTATGTTGCGCAGATAGGTGGAGGATCACCTCAATGGAGAAAACTACGTGAGAAGTGGCAGTGGCCGTCACGAAGGAGAGTTAAAATAATTTCCTCGCGCCTTGCAACAGGAAAGCCCGCGCTTCACAGATTCGTTAATAGTGCTTCACTTAAATGCATCATTGTACTACACTGTTTGACATGAACTCATTATGCAGCGTTTCAAATATCCTTCTGGTCATCGTGGGTGGACAAAGGGAATGTCCGATTTCCAAGTCGCTGATTTCGCAGCTCAGTTAGCTCATTCCCCTTGATTCCCACATGCCCCGGCACCCACAATATTCAAGATCAAAATGGCGAGACAATAGGCAGTAGATCGGGTGTTGTATTGTCGCGAAGTAGTCCCAAGTGTGACGTAGTGAAATAAATAAATTTCAATAACAAAATAAAAATAATATATTAAAGATTATGTACAATAAATTGCTAATTTGCAATGTTACAATGAATTGCTAATATTAAAACACTCCGGCAACCTTTTCCTTTCAGAACACTGCTTTACCGCAGAAAATACAAGCCACGCGTGATGCGCGCTATCGGACCTCGGTCCCGTGACAATTACCGTCACATGGCCTGACGCCAAAATTTAACCCGGTCGTGGCGACCGTGTGCCTACAGCACGTGAGATTGTCTGGCCCTTACTCTCCGGACATCTCGCCCACACTCCTACACCCCTTGTACACACGTACAAGCTTCCCGATGCAAACTGAATGAGAACGCGGGCGCAGATGGCGCCGCGTTAAATAGTTGAGGCTGACACCCCCACCACTGTTCCATAGATAGGCTCGCCGGCTGGCGCGAGGCTCGCAGGCCAGCCTTGGTTTACGCCCACACACAGAATTCTCAGGTTGGCTGCCTGCTTCCGTAAACGAGGCTCGCCGGCAGCATCCTCTGAGTTTACAGCCTCCGGTATTTTTGGCTCTGCGGCTCTACCTGAGTCAACCGCCCGAGCGCAAACTCCCGGATGTTTAGGCTCAACCCCTTCCTCCCCCGCAGCGTACTTTCACCGACCTAACGGTGCTGGCCCTCGTGTTAACGACGCCACACAAGGGTTAAAATGGCTGAAGTGCACTGAGGGAGAAAACACAGCACTACCCGTCGAGAAGTACCTGATGCGATGAACTCCAGGACCTGGAATACAGCGAACTTCTCGCCAGAGAAAAAACTACAGAATGGTTAAGGAACAGCGTAACATGGCGAGTAGCAAGATTCACGAGGCCTGCAAGTTCACTCATCTTTTGCGAAACGCCAAAGCAACATAGCCTCTGCGGTGCCCCCCGTCTGGGACGCAGACCCGCGCGTGTTTTTTGTAAACATGCTGAGACGAAGAAACAGAAAATACTTTACTTCAACCCATCACCAACTAGATTTGTAAATTTAGAAGAACTTTCTAGAACTTTTGGGACTGAGAGGGGAAACGGGGGCTTCCGTGGACGCTTGCGCGAGCGGATACAGGGAATCAGAGAGCCGCAGAAAGGTGCAGATGAGAAGACAGGGCAGAAAGGCATAGACGCGCGGAGAGAGGCGTTTCTTCTGATCAATAAATCTACTGTTTTACAAACCCCTCTCGTCTGTGTTTGATTCCACCTGTATGACGCCACAGACGAAGGAGAGATTAAAATGGTGACAGCGGATTAAGAGAACCCGGTAGGCATCGGTTTAGGCCGTGATGATTAAACCAGCAGTTTGTTTAGTACGCCCCGGAGTGATTAAAATAGTGGCAGGGGCTCGAGCAAGCCAAGAGTTGCGTTGTAAGCGCCGAGTAAGTGAACGGGGTGGAGGTAATGTAAGCGTGTATGTTTTACCTAGCATCACGTGGTACAGTGATATCGTAGTGCGGCATTTTAGTTGTTAGGGAGTAACAGTCTAAAGCAACCTATAGCAACTCGGAGAGATTAAAATTCTGCAGACGGAGCGGCGCTTCAAGAGTGAAGCAGAAGGAAGGCAGCGCGCCATCCGACTTCACCGAAACCGGAAAGCGAGGACTCCGCACGAGCACCAGAACGAGAAAAGCAGCGGGGGAAGTACGTTTTTCTGAGAGGCAACGGCACTAGTTTACAGCTACGGCGTACCCAGCTAGATTTAAGAAAGATAATTGCAATTGCTAATGATTTGGGTATTGTATTACACGGGACAGAAACCGTGATTAAATTAAAAGGTTTGATAACCAGCCATGAGGATTATGAGCAGGAATTTATTGAGGGTTTGGGCGAACAACATCGCAAGGTTGTCGAGGAAGAGAGGGTGAGGAAAGAACGGGAGAAGGATAGGGAATTTGAACCACTCAGAATTGAAGCTGAGATCGAAAGGGCACGTATAGTGGGGAGCGAGGCACGCGTTCAATTGCATCGGGAAAATATTAAAATCGAGCAAATAATTGCAAGATTTCGTGGTGAACAGGACGATATTACGACGTATTGAAGTGCTTATGAAAGTCAGCGCAGACAGTTGAGAGTACCCGAAAACGAATGGGCGGTTCATTTAATCGAGTTGTTGCCGTATAATGTGAACAATTGGATTACGTTAGACGAACAGGAGGACGAATGGACTTACGAGACATTAAAGCTGAAATAATTAGAATTGTATAGATTTCATGCGGAAAAAATCGTCAGTTGTTTGATAAACACAACAAAGGTAATAATTCCACGTGGGGCACATTTGATCGCACCTCGAATTTATTTTCTGATTTCCGACTAAGAACATTTCTTGAACCGCAGTGTTTCCAGCTCATATAAACGAAAGTGCCGTTCTTGGCCTTAATTTAGTGAAAAAAGCAACGATTCTCTCAATTCATCGCGTTTACGAGT